TTTGGGGAAGAAAAAATGCGTCTTATATGCCGAAAAATACGGTATCCTGGAAGTAGAAGGCACAGCCAGCTGAAGTCAAGCACACTGACTTGTAAATGTGCCATTTTGCTAGAGGCCCCACTTGTGTAAACTCTCACTCAAATTACAATTCAAGGACTGTTGCTGCAGCATCTGGTAATACTGTACCACTAGACAGCTGAAGTTCATAGCTCAGTTTATGAAATAATAATTGAGCCACAAAGACGTTCAAAACCAACCGGAAAATCTAAAGGCCTGTTCCTAGACCATTAGGATATCACACCAAGAATGAGTTAGGAAATCTGAATCAGGAAGATGCTTCACACTGTTAATCCCTACAAGGGAAATAATACCTGCGTATTTTATATGTTTTTTGTAGGAATACTGGGATAGTTATAGGAAGCACCATGAACACTTAAAATGTGCTACACAAATCCTCACTACTAGTATCAGAAAGGTAATGCTTGAGCCTTGTACAGTCCTATAAAGAGCCTCTGACCAGTGATATGCAAGATGGACATTTCTGGCATTTATGGAAGCTGATATGTAGAGAATAAGCTAAGGGAAAGGCAGACTGGATCTTCAAACAAGTGACAATCTCAATCACTGAGGGAAGGGGGAAACAAAATCAAATCAATCAATCATCCGATCAAAATCAAGTTCAAGCAGTTCCGTAAAGAGATAAACTATTTTTCCGCTTCTCTTTTTTCAAGCCACTTTTTAAAAACAGGTTTGTAGCAGTCCCAATTAAGCAAATAGTAACAGAAGAAGGGAGACAGTGATAATCAACTGATCAGGTCTTATATTTTTAAAAGGACGGGCAGATTTTGAACACTGCTCATGAAAAATCAAAAAATGGGAAGCAATTTGGATGTGTGGAATATTTTTATTTGTCACAATTTAAAACATTTTTTTGTCTTCATCAAAGTTAAACTGCGGGGGGAAACCTGAGATCAGGAGACCTATGTTTGTCATGCAGCTACATCTTTGTAGCTCCAGAGAGCCATCTCTAGAGAGACAATGTGGCATAGTGGTGTGAGCATTGGATGATGACTCCGGAGACCAGGCTTCGATTCCCAGCCCAGCCATGTAAACCCACTGGATGACCTTGAGCAAGTCACACACTCTCAGCCTCAACAAACACCTGTGTAGCTACATCTTGCAATGCTACTCCTCCCATCACCTTTTAAGCAGCACAGTACCTCTCCAACACAGTTATTTCCATATTGTTGTAAAGCAGAGGGATGAATGTGAACGTGTTCAGTTATTGGTACCAAAATTTGCAAGGCAAAAATCAAAACCATAGTTACAGCTTTGCAAGCCTATATATAATAAATATAATTTAATATTTACAAGCATAAATGTAAGCAATCTTAAATGTATCTATAAATCTAAATAACTTATTACTTATTTATGAATCTAAATAACTTTTATTTAACCTTAAAGAAATGTTGCTTTTGTTTAAATTGCTTTAGTAAATGACTATAATTTTATTACTATTATAAAGGTATTACTTTAGGTTTGCTTAACTTTTCATTACAGACTGTGTTCTCAGCGGTACCCTATTAAACCAAATGTTTTGTAATTTATGCTTCTAGTGGATGTTACCATGTGATCATTACACAACCTGACAGCAATTGCTAGTCACTATCATCATTCACTCTATTCTGTGAGGAAGAAAAGGGAAAATTGGAGAAAAGATAAAGAATGAACTAAATGAAGCCTCCACTGAGAATGAAGTAAAGAATAATATCCTAATATAATTAAGAACTAGATAACATCCTAAAAATGGTTTGGATATTTAAAAAAACACATCTATATCCAACCACTCACACAGCAATAAATCTATGCACGTATCAAAAAGCCGGAAGAGGTTGGGCTGCCTTTCATGCATTAGATAATGCCGCCAGGTAGTGAAAAGCCTTCAATCTAACATACTTTACAAGCTTATTGAGAAAATAAAATGCCCAGTGTTAAGCCATCATTAGCCTTCAGAATAAAATGGCAGTACATTCAATAGCAATGCTTGATTTAAGGATATCCAAATCCAAAAGTATGTTTTGAATTTTACATGTGTTTTCATTATAGCACAAGCTTTCAAAAGCTTACCAAACTTTTCCTTCCACTAGAACAGTGGTGGGGAAAGAGTAGCTGCCCCATGGGACCCCATTTCTGCAATTCCCAAAGCTACCTCAAAGCCCCCTTGCCTCCCCAATTTTTTTGTTTAGTTTACAGATTATTTTTTGCCCACATATGGCTCAAAAACCTTTAAAACCCCTTTAAAATCAACCAAAAATAAAACCAGAAGTGATGTGGCATCACTTGTCTCAGCTGTGCCAGTGGGGGTACAGGGAAAAACTCCCCCCTTCCATAGTTGCCTATCCCTAGTCCAAAGACCCTCTCCCAAAAGTTTTGTGGATATAAGAAATTTGCATTCAAGCAGGGCTTGACTGTCAGCAGGTAGGCCAAAATATCTCCCTGGGAGGGCTTAGGTCAGCATGTGCTTTCCAGGCAGATGTCTCCTTCAGATTCAACTCCAATTAGTTGTTGTGTTCCTTCAAGTTGTTTCTGACTTATGGCAGACCCAGACCTTCCATGGGGTTTACTTGGCAAGATTTATTCAGAGGGGGTTTGCCTTACCTCTAGGACTGACAGTCTGACTTGTCCAAGGTCACCCACTAAGTTTCCATGGCTGAGTGGATATTTGAACCCTGGTCTCTCTGAGTCCTACGTCCAATGCTCAAACCACTACATCTGGCTGATGCCAATACCACCAAACAAATAGCAATTTCAAACAGCAAGACTGTGAAATCCTTTGGTTCGAATCCCAACCACGGAAGGCCTGGGATCAATTTATTCCTCTGGGGTCCCAGAAGGGTTGCAAAGCCTGCCCAAAATACCTATTACTCACATCAAATTGGTAGTGACTAAAAGTCTCCTTCTGGTTTTGAAAGTGTACATTTTTAAGTGTTAAACAGTGCAGGGATGCTTGAAACAAACTTAAAAGCAGAGTGGCCCAAACCAATTTTTGGTAGAAAAGGGGCCTTTGAGGGACACTGGAGGGGCTGACTGCTTCCAGAACCATCTCAAGGGCTCCAAGATGTCCCAGGGCTGCTCTTTGCCCTCATATGCTCTAAGGTAGTGGTCCTCAAATGTTGGGACAGGACCCATAGGAGGCCTGAGAGTTTCTCAAGGGGTGTGTGACTTGGAGTCCCTCTTTCTCTTCCTAGATTTCTTCTGTCCTGGAGGACAGGAAAAGGGCACGGAAGGTGCTTGAAGTCTCTGCCTGAGGAAAGAGGAGGGGGAAAAAAGCTATTTCCTTGTACACTGGGCCCTCCATAGCCACAATTTTTTTTATTCAAGGATTCAACCATCCACAACTTGAACACACACACACACACTACAATAAGCAAACTTTGATTTTGCTATTTTTTTATAAGGGACAGTTTCACACTACTGTATTTAATGGGACTTGAGCATCAGTGGATTTTAGTATCCACTGCGGGTGTATGTTCTGGAACCAAACCCCAGCAGCTACCAGGGGCACACTGTAAAATGTTAAAATATAAATATATTTTAACACATATGAATGTGTGAAGGAAAATATGCATACTAAATAAACAAAATATTTCTATTCAGATGCTATGTCAAGCAGGGGGTGTGATATGCACAAGTAAAAGGGGGGGGGGATCACAAGAGTAAGAAGTTAGAACCACTGCTCTAGAATAATGCTGCTTAGTCAGAGCAGGCTAAAGAGGACTTTGATAAATCCATTGAGATTCCTGCACTACTCTTCTAGTGCTGCTACTCCACTTTGAGTGCTCTGGGTGACTCCTGTTGCATTCTGGGATCTGCAGTTTAGAGAGAGGCCATTTAGAATTCTCAGCCAGAGAGCGCTTAGGCCTCACTGAACTACAAAACCCAGAATGCAACAGGAGGAGGCAGCCACAGCAGTAACAGTGGAACAGCAGCACTTGAAGAGTGTAGTGTAGCAATGTCCCATGTCTCAGTAAAAGTATTACCCTCCCATCAAAGCAAATTTCAAAGCAGGAGGGTGCGTTGGGAAGCTATTAGTAGGCACTGTAACTAGCCCCCAATCCTTAGAAAAGAAATGTATGAAGAAAAGCCCTTTTGTTGGAAAGGAAAAGTATGAAGGATTTAGAGAGGCTTTAAATGCACCTTGGGAATGCACCTTTTTAAAACCCACTTGGGTCTGAAACACACTGCACTGCAGAAATAATCCAATGCCTTAGCTCAGTGTTAGGGAATCCTGGGAATTGTAGTTTATTGTGGCACCAGAACTTCTCTGACAGAGAAAGCTAAATGTCTCTCAAAACTACAGTTCCCAGAATTCCTCAGCACTGAGCCAGGGCAGTTAAAGCAGTCCCAAACTGGATTATTTCTGCAGTGTGGATGCAGCCCACGTTGTCCTTGTGTGCCTTTAAGTATAGCCTATTATGGGGTTTTTCTGGCCCTGGAGCAGAAATACTGAAGAATAAAGTAGTAAAAGAAGCTTTCCAAAGCTGCCCACGTTTTTAGGGGCACCCCCAATAAGATGGGGTTCAGCCAAATGGCTCCCAAGGAATGACCTTGGGCCCCTCAACAAGAACAAGGAGAGGAAAAGCAAGACAAATGAATGACAAATGGACGTCACACGTGCTGCGCCTATTCCTCTGGGACTGCCTTTCATCTTCGTGGAAAGCATGGCCGGGAGGGAAGTTACACAAGATGGCCATCGAAACAGAAGCACACTGGACTAGATGTCTCTTCCCAACTGGTAGATTTCAAAGATAGGGACGTGATAGTCTGTAGAATCAGTATGAAGAGAGATCTTGTAGCACCTTTGGGACTAACCGAAGGAAATAAATTGGCAGCATGAGCTTTCATATCCATCTGAGGGAGTAGGCTGAAGTCTTAGGGGGGTTGCAGACTGCCAGAAATAGTGCAAATTGAGTCCACTTTTAGGGTTAGGGTGAGACATTGAGCCTTCTCTGTCAGAGAGCTCTGGTGCCACAATAAACTACAGTTCCCATGATTCCCTAACCCTAACTCTGACCCTAAAAGTGGACTCAATTTGCACTATTTCTGGCAGTCTGCAACCTCCCTAAGTCCCAAAGGTGCTAAAGATCTCTTTGCGGTCACTGCAAAGGAGGACAACTAGGCACCGAAAAAATAGATGGCATTCAAAGAAAAATGGGGGACATGACCCAAGAAAAGTTTGTATAACACTCTTATACAAACGTCAATCCATGCCTCTTAGCCATGCTCAGAATGGAAGACATTTTGGGATTCTTCCTGGACAGAAGGTGGAAATGGAGGTCAGGTTCTGGAGAAAGGAGGACAACCTCTGGTCACGCTCCTTCCCAAACCTTTGCTGCAGTTGTTGCGTGCCTTTGGGTCGTTTCCGACTTATGACGACCCTATTAGGGGATTTTCTTGGCCAGATTTGTTCAGAGGAGGCTTTGCTATAATCATGGCCTTCCCCTGAGGCTGAGAGAGTGTGACTTACCCAAGGTCACCCAGTGCGTTTACACAGCCAAAACAGGATTTAAACCCTGGTCTTCAGAGTGATAGTCCAACGCTCAAACCACTACGACACACATCTATCTCCTCCCACTCAAAACAACCCCTTCGTGGCAGAGGCGGGATTCGAATCCAGGTCATAGCCAAAACCCAACGCCAAAGTCCTAGAAGAGGCTCGGAAAGCTAGGCCGACACGGATCCCCGCCCTCTCTCCTCCAGTCAGGGCCGGGGGTCTCTCTCCCTCCCCTCCCCTCCCTCTGCA